TGCCCTTTGAGTGGCACAGTGCTTCCTAAACACCAAATAGATTGCTTCCTAAACACCAAATAGATTGCTTCCTAAACACCAAATAGATTTTCTGCGCCTTTATTGAAATTTTAAAAGAAAACGTTTACTTATGCTGGTGAAAAATACCCTCTTGAAATCTGAGCTTTCTGTCTTAGAATGTTAACAGTTGCTAGTCTGAACTTTCATGTTCCACACGTGCATGAAATCTGGATTTAAATTTGCAGAAACATCATCCTAAAATTTCAGCCTCCTAGCCTCTTTGGTTGCTGGGTTGGAAACCCCGTCGAACAGCACACACTCGTTCTCTCAGCGATTTCCAACATGATCCTCATTGACCCTTCCTCAGTAAAAGCTTGTAACGTAACATTCTGCTAGAAATCATCGAATGTTTTTTTTTTGTAATCAACAGGAGGCAGGGAAGGAGACGATACACAGCTATTCTGGATCGAAAGTACGGTCCGTTGTGCAGCAATTAGTTCGAAAACCAGCTTGCTTTCCGCTCGGGTCTGCTCTGTTTCTGCTGTACTCTCTCTCTACGCGTATGTATCATTACATTAGGAGCACTTTTGTTTAGCAGGAAATAGAGCAGCTTTTTTCGGAATTCCAAAACTGTCCGAGTTGAAAGTAAGAAAAATAAATAGCGACACTCACCAGGGTAACCGGTGCGATCATGCATTTTGTGCGGTTCCGGCCAGCGGACGTTTGTTTTACACTATTGTGTGTGAGAAAATAGTCGATATGCTGTCTGGCTCCTAAAGTGTGGGATTCCCACTGAAAATTTCATGTGCCGGTACATGAAGGCTGAGTTTGAAAGCATTCTTCCAAATTTCAAACTACCAGTTCTTCGGTTTCCGAGCTATTAACTTTCGCATCAAAACTGTCACGTGGCCGAACATAAGATTCTTCATGCTTGGGAACTCAATTTGAGTTTGTGAAGTACCTACATAGACAGAAAACATCCTCCTGAAATTTCAGCTTCACAGCTGTTCAGGTTCCCGAAATAATTTTCCTCACCAAAACTTTTGCGACGCCACACAAGAAACCCAAGCGTACATAAAAGATGAATTTAATTTTGCAAGATCGG